TCCTTGAGAGCCAGCCAAGAGGAGAAGATAGGATGTAAAGAAAGTTAATAATAATGTTTAAAACAATAGCAAATTCAAAGTCCAACAAAGGATTGAGCTCATAGAATGAAAATGTACCCTTGCGGGCCAAATTTGAAGTCCGTTGGTAACAGTGGAATTTACAGGATTTAAGTCAATCAGTTTTCATAAGACTCACTTCACTAATTTTAGCTGGATCGTCGGCATTGCCTCAAAGATTAGGCTTATTTATTTATTTATTTATTTAGTATCAAAAGCATTGCATAAATTAGTATAAAACTGATAAAAATGGAAGGAGCAGAGGCGGCTAAATATCCTTTGACCAAAAACGGGCAACAGCAATGGCATTGTCTGTACCCTCCAACAACTCTTCCTCTGTACATGAGGCAGGGCACAGTGGATAAGCATACAGATGCAGATTGTCTGTTCTGCTCCACAGATTATGCGAAGTACTCTGAGTCTTTTTTACCTGGAATAATAGCAAATGCATAAGTAGAGAGAAGCAAACAAAAGATTATGATTCGTAATTACAGCAAAAAAAATGTGAAATGCCTAACATCTACAGCTTAAAATTCAATCCAACACTGGCAATTCAATTTACCAATTAACCTGATTTTGCCCTAATTCAGATAGTACATATTATTGCAATTACCTAATAATGTAGTGTGTTTAAGGACAATCTGAAGCTAATCCTCATAATTGGCCATTAGTACTGGAACCAATCAAGTACCTTTAAAAAAACATGAATTTTATACCCACTGGCTCACTCTGCATTCTCCCATCTGTTCTCCCCATTCACTCCTCTAAGAAAATATGTTCCCTAGATGTGTCTGAAAAAAAGAATATATGCTCTTGAGCAATTTTCATTAAATTCAGTTTTTCCCCCAGATGTCTTGTGATGTTGGTTACAACAACATCTCTCATGTTTTCTTTAATTATGTGAACCAGACAGATTGAGTTATAACTGTCAAGTATGATTAACATAAAAAGAACTATCTCAAGCCCAGTAAAAAGCATTGAAGTAACCATTAAGTTGACAAGCAAGTTAAGCAATAGGGCAAAGAGGCCAAAGTAATCAAACATCCCACTCTTTTTGCAAACCTTAGCTTTCCATGTAAGCAAACCCAGTAAACAAAACTAGTTATGGACGTGAAAGCCAGGGAAGCTGTGTGGGCTTTCTAGTGTCACATTTATAACTACCTGCCAACAAAGGATATGTTCTGAGTACATGCCTAATGCAATGGGCTCCTGGCATTCCTGTGAGGCTAAGCAGCTGATCTGTAGAAGCTGAAACAGGCAAGGTCTGTGGATAGACTTTAGAAGTACGTTGTACAATTCCAGTTATTTAATCCAGACCTTGAGGCATCCTGGCTCTGGGAATTGAAGCTTTCTACAATAACTCTAGAAGTTATTATAGAAAAATCAGTTTCTAAGCTCTCTTGAAAGAATGGACATCTTAAACCTATTATGTTCAGAAATGTGGCACAAAGAGCAGAGGAGAAATAAAGACAAACATGGATGGAAGCAGTTTACACAATTGCCCACATTACAGGACAGTCTAAATGACACGATTAGCTTGGGGACGCCTCTGGAAAGTAAAGCTATTCACTTCCGGAAGATTTCTACAAAGTGTTTTATCAAACCTATATGACACCTGTTTTTTGTTTTTTGGGGGTTTTTTTGTCGTGTCAGAAGTCGCTTCTGGTGTGAGAGAATTGGCCGTCTGCAAGGACATTGCCCAGGGGATGCCCGGATGATTTGGATGTTTTTATCATCCTTGTAAGAGGCTTCTCTCATGTCCCCACAAGAGGAGCTGGAGCTGATAGAGGGAGTTCATCCATCTCTCCCCGGATTCGAACCAAAACTAACAAAATGAAGTTTAACAGTGACAAATGCAAGATACTCCACTTTGGCAGGAAAAACGAAATGCAAAGATATAGAATGGGGGATGCCTGGCTCGACAGCAGTACATGTGAAAAAGATCTTGGAGTCCTCGTGGACAAGTTAAACATGAGCCAACAATGTGATGCGGCGGCAAAAAAGCCAATGGGATTTTGGCCTGCATTAATAGGAGCATAGGGTCTAGATCTAGGGAAGTAATGCTCCCCCTCTATTCTCTGGTTAGACCACACCTGGAATATTGTGTCCAATTCTGGGCACCACAATTCAAGAGAGATATTGACAAGCTGGAATGTGTCCAGAGGAGGACTAAAATGATCAAGGGTCTGGAGAACAAGCCCTATGAGGAGCGGCTTAAGGAGCTGGGCATGTTTAGCCTGAAGAAGAGAAGGCTGAGAGGAGATATGATAGCCATGTATAAATATGTGAGAGGAAGCCACAGGGAGGAGGGAGCAAGCTTGTTTTGTGCTTCCCTGGAGACTAGGACGCGGAACAATGGCTTCAAACTACAAGAAAGGAGATTCCATCTGAACATGAGGAAGAACTTCCTGACTGTGAGAGCCGTTCAGCAGTGGAACTCTCTGCCCTGGAGTGTGGTGGAGGCTCCTTCTTTGGAGCTTTTAAACAGGGGCTGGATAGCCATCTGTCAGGGGTGATTTGAATGCAATATTCCTGCTTCTTGGCAGGAGGTTGGACTGGATGGCCCATGAGGTCTCTTCCAACTCTTTGATTCTATGATTCTATGAACCTGCGACCTGTCGGTCTTCAGTTCTACTGGCACAGGGGTTTAATCCACTGCACCACCGGGGGCTCCTATGACACCTGTTAAAATAGCCAAAATGCAGCCACAATTTAAAAACACTTGTAAATGTAAACAAGCAACGGGATCATTTTTCCATATGTGGTGGTCCTGCAAGAAGGCAAAAAACTGAGATCCAAAAAACTATTGAAAAAGTATTAAAGCTAAAAATACCCATGCATCCAGAAGTATTCCTGGTAGGAATAACAGATCACTTCTGAAATCACACAACAAACTCATCACCCTAATGACAAATGCTGTGAAAATTGTTTGTGCATGAGCCTGGAAATTAGAGGAAACAGCAGAAATGGAGGAATGGATTGTGAATGTGGCGAAGGTGGCTGAGATGGACATTCAGACAGGATATCTTCAGTCAAAAGACTCTTTGGAGTTTGGGGAAGACTGGGAACTCTTTAAAGGATTTCTAGAAGGAAAGTCTATTTCAACATGGGGATTTCAAATTTAAAATGAAAAGTTTGACCATTATAAAATCTAAATTCTCATCATATTGTTTAATTTCTTCCTGAAGAGTCTTTTGGAGCTATTTGATATGACTTTCTTTTCCATAGTATATGTATTATGGCAGAATTATGGCAGAACTCTTGAGGGTGGTCATACTTGTGTTGGTAAAAGCTCAGTCGGAAAGCACAAATCATAAGAAATGCTTTAATTCCTGTTGCTGTTATCCAGATTGAAGCAGTTTTTCCTAAGATATAGCAACCAATAATTCTAAAATATAGCAACCAATAGTTTGCACAGATATGCCTCTAAGAATGTCTTGAACTCTAGTGAATGGCATGGATGTTGTGCTTATTTTGCACCAGTTCCCATTTGAGTATAGGTCTATTAGCAAAGAAATTGAACTTCAGAGACACATCTCATTATTTTTGAATGTCTGTGTCAAATCAATAAAATATTTCACACAAAATGAAGTTGGTAGGGAATTCCACTTGTTCAAGTTTGTTTGCACTCTTAGAAACTAATAATTTTCACTGGCATCAACATTCAACTATGAGTAATCAAAACCACATTTAGTCATGTGTAGAATTAAATGGATGTTACTGGGGAAACAGAACAGCAATGGCAGCAATTTCACTTTCCTCTTGATGTCATGAAGAGGAGAGCAACATTGGTCAACATTGGTCTTGTGGTGGACACTACCCTTTTAATTTTCAAGGAGACATTAAGGACTTATTTTCAAGGAGATATGAGGACTTAAATTTAACTATGCATGTGGCTCCAGGAAACAAAAACAAGAAAATTAAAATCAAGTCAGGGTACATGAAAGGAGAGGTTACATGTCCTTTATATACTCATAAAGACTTTACATGAGACTTGTATAAAGGTAGAAGCAAAAGAATCTTCTGTGGAGATTTTCTTTTGGTTAGAGGAAAAGCACATATAAGTCACTAAAGAATCATGTTACAAACTATGAAAATAAATGTCTCTAGGGTATATTATGGTAGTACTTGTTTTCAAAGACCAAATAATAGTTTGGACTGATTTATTACACATCAAAAATGTTTTTATCGCATATTTACAGAACAACGGTTTTTGGTTCCAGATTAATGGACTATAGTTTCCATCAAATTTGGTACTGAAATATTTCTATTTTTGTTTATTTTATTTTGAGAGCTTGATGACAATATGTAATTGCCAAAAAGGATCATACAGCTCCAGATAGTTCTAATCAGCAAACACAGCCTAAACATTTAATAATTCAATCCAAAATTCTAATTTTCAGGAGGGTCTGGGAAACTGTATTTTATTAGTCATTTAGCTCAGAAATGGCTTCAAGACTATACAGCCCAACCAAAAAAAATTCTTTGTTGTCTTGGTTTTAAGGCCTGTTTCTGGGTTTATTTGGGGCACCAATTCAGAAAACTGCATTGGACAGACTGCATCGGCTCTAGTTTCTTATATATGGTTATCATTATTTTGTATGAGTGAGCAGTTGATAACTGATATGTGGCATATGTTCTGTATGTCAAAAATTAGACCCAATAGAGAAAAACTGATGCCATTTTTGGAATCAGCAGGTCAGATATATACCCCAAAGCAAGTTTAACATTTGAGGCATCCAAATGTGTATTAGCCAGTGTTATCAATAGGTCTCCAAGCTATTTAGCATGCACATTTCCCAAACATACCAGAAACTGAATGCAGCACTTAAAAAGCATGTTGTCCCACAGACACAAAACTCTGACCACAGAAATATTCTATCAAGCAATTCCTCTTAAACTCGTGCCAGGAACCAGGACCAGGACCAAAAACTGCAACAGACCAGATTTTGAACTGGTTTATTTGCAAGCACATAAGCTGAGGAAAGCATCAACCTCAAATCTCCTAACAATTCAGCTGCCAAAAATGTTGCTAATGTGATTTTTATAATATGGCACTCATCATTCAGCATTTAATATGGCAATTATATTTCAATATCCCTTGGCACTAAAAACATCACTGCTCCAGAGGCACATTGTAATAGGTTTAATGAAACATCACATCTTACATTACTCTGTATCAATACACAGAATACAAGAAAACAAATACACATTTGGGAGGACAGAATTTAGAATTTATATATATAGTATATCTATACACAAATAGTAATATTTATCCACATGACAAAAGGAGAGAAACCCACATGCTTTTTTTCACCAGTCAAGCATTTCCACAATTACTGTACATAGTTAAACATCAATCTGCAGCTGTTGAAGCATAAATGTCACCAGATAAATGAAAAAACTGAGGCATGTGATCAGATGCACTGACATTTTGCACCATAACTCCAATTTCAGATTACATATTCAATTGGGCCATAGGGTAATAGCACTGATTTGGTATGGAGAAGCTATTATATCAAGCTTAGTCTTGCCTGTAGATTCCAGGAATTCAACTTGGGACCTTTTGCAGGTTGTAGGTGTAAAACAAAAGAATCCTAGTACAAGGTAGGGACAGATTTCTAATTCAATGCTCGCCTTCCCACTGACTAAATGTCTATGGAATTGTATCACCATATGCTAAATCCCTTCATTCTGCTCATCATTAATGCCTTATCAATCTGGTTTTGCAGGCCTGCACAACTTGTGAACTAGTATTCACATTCCAATAGGCAGCAACAGCAGGAATTGGGAACACCTAGTCAAGACCACTGGCCCAAATATCATAAAGGTACCAGATCCTACCTGATCTTTGAACCTAAGTAGGGTCAGCCTTGGTTAGACTAGAATGGAAGATCAACTGTGAATACCAGGAGCTGTAGACTTTATTTCAGAGGGAAGCAGCAAAACCCTGTGACATTTATGCCTTTTTTATCATGTCAGAAGCAACCTGAGAAACTGTAAGTCACTTCTGGTGTGAGAGAATTGGCCATCTGCTAAGAAGTTGCCCAGGATGTGTTACCATCCTGTGGGAGGTTTCTGTCATGTCCTCGTATGGGAAGCTGGAGTTGACAGACGGGAGCTTGCCCCATCTCGCAGATTCAAACCACTGACCTTTAGGTCAGCAATTCAGCCAGCACAAAGGTTTAAGCCATTGCACCACCGTGGCTCCTATGGCGTTACCATAGGTTGACAGATGACATGAAGGCAAATACACATATGCCCAGTGGGGACAACAATTTTCTCTAGGTTTCTGTCATCCTGGGAGGCAGCAATAATCAAAAACACAAAAGCAGTGCCCAGAAGGTCACAGGAGTGCAGCATGATGTGTCTGGAACTTTAAAAACTGTACAGAAAAATCTGCTTTCCTACCACATGGTTCTAATCTAATATAAAGTGTATGGCTTTTGAAGGATTTCTGTGTCCTATAACACATAGTACATCTTTACTGTCAATAAAACCTTTGTGGAGAAGTAATAGTAATAGCAACTGGTATGATTGTTCATTTAATTCATATATTAGGTTTTGGGGGGGTGGGTTTAGCAGCTCAGGGCCAGGCTTATGACTTATGTTCACAAATTTTAAAACGTTTTACTTGTAAACAAACTACAAGGTAAAGTTTAATGGCTTTGCTTCTTTTTCAAGTAAAACAAACGAACACTGCAAGCATATGCAAGATTGGAAAAAAATCTTAGGCACTTAGTTGCCTGAGAGCCTCAAAATGTTAGAGGACTTTAAATATTTACAAAGAACTGCAAGAGGTTGGTATATAAACAATATGGTAATTGCTCCCAAAAAAGTAAGGCTGGCAAATTGTTAAACTGACATATGAATAAATTCTTCTTAAAGGCTTTTCCTTTATGGAATAGAAACAGCAATTCTTTTTTTCACCTAAATCAGTTTTTGTTTTTCTAGCTTTCAAAAGCAATTCCCCCAGCACCGCAATTACTTTTAAGACTCATTGTGAAATATTATATTGAAGGCTGAACATTCTGCCAAAAACATTCTATAGTTGTGTGCCACATCTTTCTTTTATTTAGATAAAAACAAATGTCTTCCAATTTCACTTGACTCTTGCAACTATTTATGCATGGCATTTCATCTTTTTCTCCTCCTTTGTATTCCTGTTGGTACACAGTAGACCTCAATACATTTGAGTTTTTTGGTGTGTTTATGGTAATAGATTGAAGCATGTATCAACTGCCAGAATAAAAATTTGGCACCCGGTATTTCACATGTTTACTATGTATAAATGTGATTCCTTAGTCACACTAAAACATAGTAATAGTTTAACATCCATTTTTTTTCTGTGTCAGAAACAACTTGAAAAACTGCATGTCGCTTTTGGTGTGAGAAAATTGGCCAACGTCAAGGACGTTGCCCAGAGGATGCCTGGATGTGTTACCATCCTGTGGGAGGCTTCTCTCATGTCCCCGCACTGGAAGCCGGAGCTGACAGATGGGAGCTCACCCCATCTCACAGATTCAAACTGCTGACCTTCAGGTCAGCAGTTCAGCCAGCACATTGGGTTTAACCCATTGCGCTGCCATGGCTCCAACGAATTATTAGACAATAAGGAAATGGTATAACATTAATAGGTCACAATTCTTAATCAGTAACTTTTTCCTGGCTCTTAAGGCCCTTCCAAACAGCCCTATATCCCAGAATATCAAGGCAGAAAATCCTACAATATCTGCTTTAAACTGGGTTATCTGAGTCCACGCTGCCATATATTCCAGTTCAAATAAGACAATGTGGGATTTTATTCAGCTGTGTGCAAGGGGCTTTGGATTTGTGTTTTGAATTCCATTTCTAAGTGCGCATATTTGAAGTTGTGATGCTGAGGGTCAAATGTCTAAGAAACTGAATCACTTCTGCTACCTATCAACCTTTTTCTGTTTTGGGGATTCACTTTACACTTTGCAAGGGAAAGTGAGCACAAAAGAGATTATATCTTCTTAAATTACCACAAATTCATTGCTGCTTTAACAGAAGCTTTAGCCATGAGACATTTCATCATTTTCAACCTCCTTTTACCTCATATTTCTATCAGGATTCGTTTAAACCAAGCTAAGTAGATTGTCTTGATACAAAAGGGGAAAAAAAGAGTCCTGCTGGATTGAATTAAAGGTCTATCTAATCCAGTGTCTTGTTCAAATATTTGTCAAATGGGAAGTGCTCAAGGAGGACATAGGTTCCCAGCCCCCAGCAAGCGATGTATGGAGGCATTCTGCCTAAAGTCTGCTTTAAAATAATCAAGTTTTTCTCACAGATGATCTTTGAAACTCAAAGTTGTTATGACACATATATGTACAAACCATAATCCAACCATTTCCTTAAAGTTTAATAGTCTTGTTTATTTTAAAGGTAGTATTAAATACTTCCTTAAACACATTCAACTGAAATCAATAGATTTTGCCTTGTTTTTATTACATATTTTAACCTACCGAGAGGTCATGATTTCAATACAAATTGTCTGATGTGCTCACCAGTCTATTTTAAATTTACATTTTGCACATTACATTAGCAGTTTATTGATGCATGTGTTTTTCTTGTTATACTGAATCCTGGTCTCTTTGGTATTAGGTTTGGCAGCCTTAGTTACACAAGGACCATTCTTGAAAATATATTCAGAAAGTGACTATCTGGAATATCAGCTCCAGATGCCCATCAATAGAGCCAGATTTCATGTTTTAAAGATGAAGAAAATACCAGGCCACATTTATTCTACAAAATTTTGAGATGCCTGACCATTACATCTTCATTTCATCCCTCTCTTGTTCCACTTCACGGCACTGTTGAATTGAGTAGCTGCTGGTTGGTCGGTTTGGAGCTGACTGTTGAATCAGAAACTGCTGCCACTTTTAATGAATTTTTAATGGAGCTGAGTTCCCATGCATGGAAATTAATGATACGCACTCCACAAAATCTCCTAGCTATCTGGAACAGTTTTTTAAGAACAGCTTTTCTCAGAAGAATGTATACCCATGGATCTAAAATTTGATTCCATGTTGCCATTCGAAGAGCAAACAGTATTGTTTCACATGATTTCCAGGAGTGGTTTTCATTTATTCCAATATTTGCCATGGTCACCTGGAAAATGAAAGGAAATGAAAGCAGAAAACATTATTATCGATTTGATAATTATCTCTCATATAGTTATATTCGAGCTATCTGAAGAGCTCACAAGCTGCACATTTGGAAGCTATGTTATGAAATGGTATAAAATCAGATTAATGAATCTGGTTCTGTACCAACAGTGGGGGTGGCGGAGGGCAAAACAAAGAAATATCTAAAAGTGGTTCTCAACCTGTAGGTCCCTAGGTGTTTTGGCCCACAACTCCCAGAAATCCCAGCCAGTTTACCAGCTGTTCTGGGAGTTGAAGACCAAAACATCTAGGAACCCACAGGTTGAGAACCACTAGCTCAACCTGAAAATTACTGTAGCAATATTAAAAGAATATATATCACTGCTTTTAAAATAAAAAGATATCATAATATAAATTGGAGAAATGTCCTCTGAGTATTAGATAGAGCCAAGCCAATGTAATATGATGATGGTATCAATATTGTTATAATTCTTTATTAACTGAATACATTGGTCCTAAAAATCTACTTTTATTGCTTGGTGATGTATTTCTAATTATTTATTATCTAGAATTACGACTAATTTATTCATTTACTTTTTATTTAGTTTTCTATATGATTTTAGTGTTGAATGCTTAAGAGATTATATAAAAATGGTGTATAAATACTCTGTGTGTGTGTGTGTGTTTTCTTTAAAAAGCTGTTACCGGAAAGTGGCAAGAAAGACATTCTGCATCTCCATGTAATAACTGAATAGCTGATAGTCTTGACAAGACTCTTTGGCAAGAGTCAAGTCATTTCCACAAGCCGTTCCCCAAACAAATAATGCCATAACATGGATAATTATGAAAAGAAGAAAATACATTTCCAGTACCCTTTCTATATATTAACCACCCCATATAAAGATACTCTAAATATCCTTGGTTGAAACCGAAAGTAGGTGTCTTAAGAGAAATATGTAATTCATGTAAATATATGCTCAGATTTCATATTGCATTTGTGATGTAAACAGTGTATTCATGTACATTTGTCCAGAAACCCTAAGAGACAGTTGGGTTGCAGGGTATTTTTTACTGTCCATCATTATCCAAGTATTCTGCAGTTCCAAACTCCTTTGATTTCTCCATTACTGTTTCATCAGAATTATTATTGTGACTAAAATGACAGCCTTTTTTCATAAAGACAACCTTTTTTTTAGTAAAGTCCTTTCAGAAAATATACAGTAAAATGGAAACATTTTATCAGTCAAATCTCTTGCAGGACCTGGAAGGAAAAGGATCAGCATATATTTTGTGCACAATTTTACAGTTCCTGATTACTGATTGTTACAAAACCAGCTATCTGTTTATTATAAAGGTGCATGTCACAATATGCAAAAGGAAAATATAAGTTGGCGCTGCTGCAAAAACAGTGATTCAAATTATACTTTTCTTCAATGACTTACTCTTTTTTCTATGTTTTCCACTTAAAGAAATTGTGTTTCATTTAATATATATGTTCACCAACATTCTGTAACCTTGGTAAGATCTTTCATATTTTCCACCATGAACAAGGTAGTGAAATAGTGAGTACTGATTTATAAAATCCACAGTTCTCTGAATTCTGTATTCAATCTGACTTTTGACTTCTACAAAGGATGAATCTACACTAGCGTGTTAATGAGTGGTCGGTCTGGAACAGAAATTATCCAAACTGGCCCCAGAGGTGGCCACATTAGTGTCCCATGTGGCCAAACCACAATGAAAGCTGGGCCCTGCTGGACCTTCACATGGCCTTCACTTTTGTTGCCACTGTTCCCTAACAGCTACAGAACTCTGTGCCACCTCCTCGATATTACGGCCACCCTATTATTATTATTATTATTATTATTATTATTATTATTATTATTACTACTACTACTACTACTACTACTATGTTTATTTATATCCTGATTTTTCTCTCCATACGAAGACTTAAAGCAGGCCATAACTAAAAGCACTAAAATACAACTTTAAATGTACCAATATAAAATTAATAAGTAGTATTAAGCATAATTCAAAACATATAAAATCACAGCAGCCCCATAGGATCTTACACACCTTCTTCTTTAAAAGCCTACCTGAATAAAAAGATCTCAGCCTGCAGTCTGAAGGACAGGAGGAAGGGGGCCATTCTGGCTTCCCTGGGCAGAGTTCCAGAGTAGCCACTGAGAAGGTTTGCTCTCTCATTCCCACCAACCAAACTTGAGATGGGCCTCTCCTGAAGATCTCGGGGCTCAGGCAGGCTCGTACAAAGGGATGCAGTTGGCCAAACATCCAGGACCTGAACTATCTAGGGCTTGAAAGGCCATTCTGACATCAGCAGAGGCATGCAGTGACAAAGAAGAAGGAAGGTGGTGATCCCCTCCCCCATCTTCTTCCAGGTTGCACCTTCTGTATTCAAGGTTACCAGTGCTGGCTAGGAGCTCCATGGCTGGTTGGGATCAGTGTTGGCATCTCCACAAGGAAACTTGATTCCTATGGTAAGTGTGGTGTGACAGGAGCTCCCAGCCTTTGCAAAGACAATAAAACCTCTAGATTTATCCTGCACTCAGTACTGGAAGGGCAGAGCACCTTGCCAGAGTGAAGGACAAGTGTGAATAAACATAGCAGAATCAAAAGAGGAAGGTACTAGGGGGAAAAAGAAGCAGTGTAATGGCTTAGCCACCAGCACCATCTAGTAGTCTCTTAAAGTTATGGCAACTCAATTGTGAACTTCCTTGGTACAGACTGATCATCCCTCTTTGGGAATTCTGAAATCCAAAATGTCCCATAATCCAAAAAGCTGTATTTCTTCCATTCTAAGGCACACTTTTTCCCTGTATAAACATCTCCAAAATGGGTGACTCTTAGAATCTCAGGTGGATTTTTGGTGATGGTGGTTGCACTGAAATTAGATCATGTCTTTCCACTGATGGCATCATACAATTGACAAAATACAGGTTACTCCTTTGCTTTCTGTTGGTCCAGCATACTATGTGGCAGTCTCAGATGGAAGAGGAATTCGGGGAGGGGGGGGGACTCAAAATAAGAAAACACTTCAAAAAAGTTATAAGAAGGAAGCTTCTTTATTCAACAAGTATGAGAGATTATAAAAACAGATGCGAAGGGCAACAAAAATAATAAAAGATATTAAGAGAATGGAAGATGATTTTTTTAAAAGACAATAATAAGAAAACATTTAAAGAATAAAATTACTTCAGGCAGTTATTGATTTGGATGGTGAAAGAAGTGGGGAAAATGATGAAATATATGAAGTTTAAGAACTTCAAAGTAATAAATAATCTTGGGAAATAAATTACGTTGGAAATGGGAAAATGAAGAACATCCTATGTGGTGGACTTTTGAAAAGGCAAAGAAGAATTAGAAACTGATCCAGACAGCACTGCAAGATAATTTTAGAACATAAACCCGGTTAAGTTTAAAATTATTTTCATTATAACTTACATATGATCAAACCATAGAGGTGAATCATGGGGTACTATACTATATAATATTAAAGCTTTATGCTCAAAAATGAGAAAGTGCAATTTTCTGACAAAGAAGAGTCAATTAAAATCTTTGAACTGGCTGAGTTGAATACATTGTCTTTAATGATAAAAAAGATAAGTGAGTGAATAACTTTGTAAAATATTGGAAGCCACTGTTATCCTGTGTAGAAAGAAAACAGAACTCAAGGAATTTGAAGATTAATTTACAGTATGGGCTTTTTATCAGAAGTTTAAATGCACTTGAGCGATAACAAGAAGAGTTTTATAGCATGATAATAGATCCCTTCGTCTAGTGGGTTGTGAAGTCAAGTCTGTAATATGCCTAAGTGAGTGGGAGGACAAAATAGAGATTGTTAGGTGTGGGTGGTAGAAGTAGAACTGGTGGGATTGGGCTTATTTTATTTTTAAATGGACATTTGTTATTTGTTTTTAGTGTTAAGATTTGTTTTTGATTAATAATGTACTGTTTGTTTCTGTTGATTTTATGTTGATGTCAATGTTATAAAGATTTGTTTTTGAAAAGACAGAGATTCGGCAACGTAGACTTGGATGTAGATCTCTGAATGCAGATACAGCCACTGTACAAAAACACACTGCTGGACAATTTGGGTAGTTTTACTGTGAGTGTTCATTGTGTTTTTTCATGTTGATTTATTGGATGCATTTCAAAGCATGCTTCTATTTCCATTCCAGGGGCACTTAATAGATGAGAAAATAGGAAATAAGGAAACAAATTTACTGTTTCCTCCTTTTAAAATGTATTCCCTATGTGCTAGCATTTTTCAATCTATATAGGAAGGAAGTGCATTAATGGTTTCTAACCACCAAGCTTTTTGTTGTAGTCAAATTTCAGTTATAAGGAGTATATGGAGAATAGCAGACTCTCACGTAAAATCAATACATCAGGGCAAGTCAAGTTAATAGTACCTGCGTCTCCTTTATTCTCATGCCAAATTTCTCTTCCATTTTGATCACATAAATGGAGGCTATATGCATTGATATATGCACTGAATAATAGTAAACCCTTTCTGAAGCAAAAGTTTCTTGTGGAGTGCCAAGAAATGTTTATATATTGTATTATATATATATTCTATATATATCAGGCATGAGCCAGGCCAGTGGCAGATGGGTGGAGAGTGTTTGTGTGAACTAATTCACACAGTGTGAAGTTTAAAATAAAGCCCAATTTTAACCAACAAAAAATTAACAGTATTTCAGTGGAAGACCTCCAGCAGCCATCCAATCCAGGGGAAAGGATGTTGGTGGCAAGGGAAAAAGTCTGGGCGGTGGGGGGGGGGGAGGGTCTGTGTCCTTTAATTTCAGGAGGAAAGAGGAGGCGGGAAGCAGCATAGCATTACAGAGCCCCTCACTATCACTCTCAGAGCTCCCAAGGGATCCATAGAGCACAGTTTGAGAACCCCTGATTTAGTGTATTGAGAGAAGCATATAGATGTTTAATGAGTACAAACCTCATATATAGCATGATATTACTATTGCT